TTTGATACCCCTGTATACATTTAAGGAAGAAATAACATTTTTCTGTAAAGTTTATTTCTCTACCTTTAAACTCAGCACAAGAGTTAATTCTGAAAAGTAATGTACAGGGTGTTAATAATCTATTATATTGTAGGGTGCAAATTTAAATATCTTTAAATATCTTAAAAACCAAAGATTTTCAACATATTTAACCCTTATAATAAATACCTTTTTTGGGCCCAAGAATCCAAAAATGAAATAAAATACAGGGTATTCCACAAGAAAAAATATAACTTTGGTATGGATCTTAGTTTTGAAACACCCTGTACATTTCAAAATAATTTTAAATTGTGCACATTACCTCCCCACATATACCCATGAAATATTTTATTGTTACATCTTTCCGTTTTCGTATAATCAACCGAGGCGAATGAGGTGCGCCACCCTGTATATGGGTCCCATTTTCGAGTGTTTTCAAGATTTTTCGTCTGTGAGTAGAGACACAAAGATGCGGTTTTCACATTACTAGATACTTTTTTTATGAAATGAAAGATGCTACAGACATATTTGTCCTAGGCCTCTTAATTTCTGAAATACAGAGAAATACAATCATTTAAAATTGTTGCAATTTTTGACTCCCCTTGTATATCGGTTATCTTATAACTTATTGAAAATGTGAATCCCATAGAGTTTTCACGTAGAATTCAGTGGTGTAACTATTTATTCGCTGGAAGCTGTCGTTCTTGAAGTATGACCCAAATTTATGTTTTTTTATTAGGGTATCCTGTATACTATTTTTTCTAAATTTGGTTTGCTTTGTTAGGAGCTTTCGAAAAATATAATATACTTTATACTTATGTCCATTAACAAAGGCATTATTTAAATTTTTAACATTGGCTGGCGGTTTAAATTAGGTAATCAAAACAATCGAATCATTTATTCGACGTCAAATTTTGGCTATTCCACGCTAGTCTCAGTGTGTGAAATTATTGTACAACTGCATCAAAAAATATCAACAACTCTTGATTGACAGCGTGTTATCTAAAGGCAGCATAAGTTCGTTTTCAATTCAGTTTATTAAGAGAACACGACGGAATCTTTTAAACTAGGTTGATTTATGTTAAACAGTTAAATAATGCATTTTTTACCTTGTTTATGAAAATAAGTATAGAGTATGTCATATTTTTAGAAAAATCCTAACAAGACAAATAAGATAAAACAAATATACAGGTTGTCCTATTAAAAGAACCTAAGTTTGAGTCATATTTCGAAAATGACAGCTCCCAGCGAAAAACTAGTTAAGCAGTTGGATTTTATGAACTCACAGGACACAGTTTTTATCTATTCGACAAGTTAGAAGATAACCAAGGTAGAAATGGCAGCGAAAATGCAATATTTTAAAATTTGCCATGTATTTCAGGAACTAAGAAGGCTAGGACAAATAGTAACATAATAGTAATAGTAAGTTTATTTTCATAAAAAAGTAACATAGTGATGTGACAATCGCATAGAATTCACTCTCTACTTATTATTGTTAAACCATATAAAATACACGAAAAAAATGGGACACCCTGTACAGGGTATTTGGAAATTGGGTGGATGAATATTTATTATCATATTTGACTGTGTGTCCCAAATTCAAGGGTGGCCAGTGTGATCTCGGAAAGAATAGGAGATATGAAGAAAGTTACGTCATAACAAAGCTACTTTTATGTCCATTATAAAGACGGTTTGAAAATTAAAAAAGCCTAAACAAAATTTATGATAAATTTTAAAGAAAGGTTTTTTATAACTGTCTTTGTATTTACACAGTTTTATTTTTAGCTATTGAGATTAAATATTTAGGTGAGGGTTACCCACCAAATTTAAAATACCTTGTATAGAGAAATCTGAACTTCTAGAGGTAATAAAATAAGTGTGTTCATTTTATTACCATTGTTACCTTTATTTTAAAAATCTTCAGAGATAAATACCATTTTTATATCACATTTTTTATTTTGTAATTAGAGTAGATAGAAGCAGTTAATGCAAGTAAAGATTTGAATACAAAAAATAAATTAAAAATCACCTGATTTAGATAGTTTTACATTTAGTATCACAGTATCTATAAAAAAACTACCCATATTTAAATAGAATAACATTATAAAATTGACTATAAAAAATACACATAACAAAATATGGAAAATTCACTGCCAGCAGGAGAATGCCATAATGACCTTGACAGGCTCCCCAATCGTATTCCTCATTGTATTATTGTCAGTTTTTTTCGTTGTTTTTTAGTTTAGTCCTAGCTCCCTCCATCTCATTTGTCCCGTCATGGTCCACCACACCTTGCTTTAAATCGACATCTCGAGAACTATATAATCTACCGTCTAGTTTTCTGTAATAATGGCAATTATTTCTTGAAGAATATAAATTTTTATTATTTTTAAATTACATAATCTGTCTGGAAATGATTGTCATTTCTTTTGTACAAGGGTTGGGCAACAATTGAGTAAAATTTGAAGTTAATTGTCAGGATTTCTTTCTATAAAATACTGTATGAATTCTATCAAATCTTAATAGAAAGAACATTTCAGTTTAAGCATTTTTTAAAACATCTTTCGAAGTCTTAAGATTGAGGGAAACATTACAGTAGTCTTTAAATTGGCAATTCATGTATATTATGTTATTTATTAAAAATGACATAAAGAAGTGAACAATTGATAAAGTTTTCATGTCAATTTTTGGTAAATTACATACACAGTGTTCAAAAATTCACTACTAGTGGTAGTACTTTTCAATTAGTGGAAAAAACTTTTAACTTTTTCCACTGGTTATAATTAAAAAAAACTTTATTACGCATGTGCGAGTAATGTCATTTTGAGGTTTGGTTATTATATCTGTAAATAGAAATTGTGGTTAAAAATAAAAGTTGGTTCAAAATAAAAGGTTTGTTGTTTTATAAGCTAATTATTAGGGTTTCTCTATGGAAAGAACTGAGTACCACAAAGTATAATTAAAATCACTAATTTATTCCACTAATTTCAAGATTGTGAGTGAAGTATAACAATCATCGATTTGTATTTGAAAGGCCACTGTGACGGCTATTTCTTCGATTATATATTAAATGAAAAAAATATAAATTTTCAAAATATTAAAAATTGATTAGAACCAGAGATTTTTCCACTAAATCAATATGTATCGTAGAAATACTATAAGAATTTTTCAAAAAAATTATAGTCGTTTATTTTTGATATGCTGGGCTTTATAAAATTGTTGTCTGGCATTGTTCAAAAGTGGCAACCATTGATGCAATATGTGTTTATTTGTCTTGGCTATAGGCGATTTTCGCCAGTTGTATCCCAGAAATCATTGACTTGATTGGAACACGCCCAAAATATGGCGGCACTTTGAAGAATGAACGTGGTCGCAGGTGAGATTTCATAATAGAGTTTTGTTTTTTGATGAATCAAGGTCAAAAAAAGACCTCAAAATAATTAAATGTAAACAAAATTTTTTAAATGTAATCAAACTACTAAACCACGACAATTCGTCCATGTTTAGTACGATTAAATCTAGTTGGTGTGTAATTTTTGATGTGTACTATATTTAGAACGTGTAAAAATCATCTTTTCTGCACGCTTTTTTTGTTTTTTCCCCGTGCTACCATTTATCTAGTTGTCAGTGTTTATTGTTTATTTTTTGTTTCGTTTTCATTTTTTTTTCTTTGTTGTTGTTATTATTGTTGTTGTTATTACATTTTGAGACGATTTAAAATCCCGAAACATCGTATGCATGAACATGACATGATGTGTGTTCTCGAATTCTACGATTACAGACAGATAAAAAAAAATATATACGAAGTGTTTTATTTTGCAGTGGAATACAAGGAAGTGCGTGGCCAGGCTGTGGTTAGGCGTGTACCACAATTTTTTTGTTTAATATTATTTCATTTACTTTAAATTACGGTATGATCCGAGTTAAATTGAATTAAGTTGGACATTAAATGGTTTGATTTGAACATTCCTCTAATTTAGATTATTTTTGAATAAGCTTCTTACCAACTAATAAAATTTATATAAAATACTGAAATTACAAAGATATAGATTTTTTAAAATAGGAATTTTAATAACTGAAAACTAATTAAAACCAAAATAGTTTTCTATTATTTTAATCCATTTTTAAGATTTAAGTTTTTGCTTCTTTTATTAATTTTTTATCCTCAAAGTTTTTTGACTTTTGACTAAAAAGATTAAGGAAGGAGCTTATGAACAAACTTACGTGGCATGCGATGGGGTATTAAATTGGCTGACTTAAATTTTGGTTATCAGTGCCGTTCTACTTTTATTGGATATGTGTAAAAATATAATTTAGGGTAGATACAATAATTTGTTGGGTTTGTTTTACACTGTCAGTAGACTTTATTTTTCATCAAAATATATTTTATATAAATTAGAGTAAGTTAGTTATCAGATACGCTACTGAAACACCTAAGTCAAATTGACGTATCTTAATTATTTCTGATAAGTTTTTAATCAAAGCGAGAATGCAAGAAAAAATATATAAAGCATTTTTTGTGCGTTAGGCAAATTTGTTAAATCACTGCTGATAAGTTGGTCTCCGTTAGATTGCAGTGTTTACAAAAAATAGCTATTTTATTTTTTAGATTTTCTTACAGCGCAAGTGGCGAAATACCCACAAGACATTTTCGAAGAATTATATATTGCCTACCATCAATAACGCTATTTAGTTTCACTAAACCGAAGTTGTAATCGAACGAATTATTTTTGTGACCAACTTAATTTAAATTTTTCTACGATCATACCGTACTTACCTTATTCTAGATTAAAACTTTAGACTCGATTTTGAATTGCACAGTAAAAATACTATTTTTTTCTTTAATTTCTTTTAGTTTTTATACATTTATTGTTAACTGGATTGGAGGTAGTTGCATGCTGTTTTCACTAACCCAAAAAAAGAATTATTAGGAACATTCTCCTAAGGATAACAATGATTCTAATCTATTTTTTAATGTCCAGGCATATAGTGGTTTGTGGACACATAACGTATGAATCGGTGTCCCATTTTTTAAAAGACTTTCTGCACGAAGACAGGGAAGATGTTGATGTTGAAGTGGTGTTTCTTCATCGGTAAGTTGTGTTTTTTTTTGTAATACGTATATTGATGTACCTTGTTTTTGTTTTTTATTTTTAATGATTTTAAAATCAAATTTGAGAAGCAATCAGACAATAAAAAATGATAAATTTTTGGGCAAAAATAATTTAAAAATCGACTCTTATTTTTTTTGATTAGATCAATCGGATGATGTTATCATTCTAGAAGGATTTCTGGCTTCTCTACCTTTTTATTTCTCGAGAATTCTCTACAATAATTGTCATGACTGATTTTTATCACTGATAGATGAGATCAGTTAGTTGAAATTATTAATTATTTATAATTTTAAATTTAAGTAGTAAAATTAAATCAAAAAAATTACTATATAGTTGTCCAACGACAAAATCCTTGACAGAGTTAGATGTGTCTGATCGCTTCTCAATTTAGGTTTACTTAAATCTGGTATAATACACACCCACAAGAAATACTGATGATTTAAATACTTTATGATCGAAAAAAAACTGGTCAAAGACGGCTGGAGAATGATAATCGATGATAATTTTGGCGAGGTCAATCTTTAGAGGTCTTTACTGAAAATTGATTTAAAACTTGTCAAAAAGTAATGCTAATTATAGAAAGATTAAAAAAGATAAAAAATAACTTTAAAAATCGTTATAATTCAATATAAAAATAAATTACAACCTTCTTTAGGCTAACGTAAAAGCCCTTAAAATAAAGAAAAGTACGAGCTAAATAAATGACAGCTAATATTTAACCTCGCCAAAATTATTATCGATTGTCATTTCCCAGCCATCTTTGATGCCGTTTTTTTTATATATAGAATCGAATAATACTTGTATTAATATTTTGAAATTAAAATCCTGACATATATTTATATTTTTTAATTATTGTTTAGGACAGTTGTTAAAAAAATCCATTGAAAAACAAAGATTGTTTCTTCTTTTAAATATTGATGGTTTGAGCTTACAGTAATTACTAAATAATTGCCAGGAAACGCATAAAATTAGTTAAAATTCATAAATTTGATGTTAATGTGCAAAATATAATATATCTTTCAATATCACTGATTAGTTAATTTTATTTCTTTTAATGGCGCCAAATGACTAATTTACAGCAAGACGATTTTTAATTTTTCGGGATCATACTCAGCACTCTTGCTTAAAAAAAAACACTATAAACTCACCTCGAAATAACTCGAGGGTTTCCATGATCAGCGAATCCAGCTTTTCCTCTATCTACCATTCTGGAGTGAACTCTCCTGAACTTCCTATTTCACCGGAAACGACTACAATTTTTGAGTTTTAAATGGCACCCTCGGTATTTTTTTTTACTTTATTCGATAGAAAATGACATTCTAAATAGAATGACGTATCATATGTCAACTTTTGACATATTCGCTTAAAAACAAATTGTATTTTAAATTCCTTTCTAGAGTGCCATGGCTGTGTTAAAAACACTAATTTTTAATCAAGAAGCCTTGGAAAAATAGATTTGATCGTCTAATGTTTTTAATGTCTTGCCCTGATCGGTTAAAAGATGCCCAAGTCGTATATTTGATCACATCTCAATTTTTTTTCAAATGGAACGAGGATGGATCCTTAGCAAATTTCGAAAAAAAAATTTTTTTTTACGAATAATTTGATACCACACACTTGGTACTTCGAGTCAAATTGTCGTTATGAACCGCATATTACAATTTCAAATAAACCATATGCGAAAATGTCATAAGTTGACATGTGATATGTCATTCTATTCAGAGTGTCATTTTCTACCGAATAAAGTAAAAAAATACCGAGGGTGCGATTTAAAAATCAAAAGTTGCAGTCATTTCCAGTGAAACCGGAAGTGACCTAAAACAATTGAATATGTCAATCAATTCTAATTTATGTCATATACTAACATACCAAATCTCGTTGTTTTATCTGAAAAAGTAAAAAAGTTATAGGGGTGATCCACTTTTCAGACGCACCCGGTATATTTATCCGTTGCGTATCTGAGAGACAAAATTTTACGACCTACATCGACAATGCTTCGAAATAAACTAAATCAGGATCAAGCGAATCGCTCGCCGCTTACTACTTGCCGTTCATTACCGAAAGAATATGTGCCCTGCGCACGCAGCTTACTTGGCGCTTGGCGTTAACGAGTACTTACAACGTGCGACGGACAAAAAACCGTATTTTTAAATACGAGCGATATTTCGCTCTAGTGATCACTCGGTTATTGCAATCGCTTGATACTCGAGTACTCGATTATTGAAATTAATCGGTTTTTCCCATCACTAAAAAAGAAACAGTAAAAATACCGCATCTACAAGACACAATATCATATATTTACAGTTTCGTTAAAACGGATTCAGATTTTTAAGAAATAACTCAGCAATTTGAGATTCTAACCCAGACTTATGGTGGGGAGGTATACAGAAATCAAAATGGCTCTGTGAAAAATGACAAACCACGGACAGCACGGCGATATCAATATTGCCAACTAGAGAAAGTTAAAACTAGACCAGGGTTGGAGAGTCAGTAATAGAGACCACTTGAAATCATATATAAAATACCTTAGATCATGTTAAAAATTAACCAAAATAAAGCACTAATTTACTACAATACATCAAAACACTTTACTTTTGATCAGCAGATGATTAAAACTGAGTTTTCAGTAAAAAAGTAAAGTGTTTTGGTGTAGTATGATGAATTATTGTTTTATTTTGCTGTTATAACACCAAAAGTTCTAACCCTCAACTGCAACAATTAAAAATTAAGTAACGTATTTTGAAAACGTTATAAAGTGTAAGTTCAAACCATCACTATCCAACAGAAATTAAATTGTTTATTCAATATGTCTTACAAGTATTGCAACCCTCTACGAACTAAGTGTTTTTAATGCTTTTTCTGTTACCCCCTATTCGCTGTACCCCGTTTTCCCACACAGGAAGGAGCCCGACCTGGAGCTGGAAGGACTGCTGAAACGTCACTACACCACCGTGGAATTTTTTCAGGGCACCATGATGAACGCTGTCGATCTCGAACGCGTCAAGGTGTCTCTTTTTTTCTGTTACATGACATGCGCACAAAACGGATCGTCTTATTTTTTGATTTGGTTTTTTTGATTTTTGCTGCAAATCGACAACAAAGGTCCAGTCGCAGTTTATAAGGTTAAATAATCAAATAATTTTGCTTCTATTATGAAAACTAGATGGTTGAAAATTGGTATATGTATGTAAAATCAAAAAAGTAAGATTTTCAAAGAAATTTTTTTAAGTTCAGCCAAAAAACCTTTTTTAATCATTTAATTTTTTTAATGCTAGATTTGACAGATACCCGAGTCTGACTGTCTAATTTATGTTCTCATTTTTACTCCATTTGTAAGCAATGACTATCGCTTAAGTCAAATTTTATCTAAATAAATAAAAAAGTCCTATATGAAAATTTATATGCCACACAGTATCTAAAAAGTAACAATAGGCTACGAGAGTTTGAACCACTCTTAACTATTCAAAGAAGATACTGTTATGAAAGATGTTATCTGGGCTTATTTTTAAAAGAATTACGAATTTCTGTTTCAATATATTAGAAGATGTCTCTCATAAACTGTAGTATTATGCTACAAAATTTTATATTTTTTTCTAAACTATACAGGGTGTTTCAGAACAAATGCGACAAACTTCAGGGGTGATTTCTTGTTCAAAATAAAGGGTAGTTTGCTTTATAAACGTTGGTTCAAAAGTCAACCATTAGGAAGATATCGCGGTACAAAGATGGCGGAAAAATATTTTTTTTTTATCTTGAAAACGAAAAACGATAGACTAATGAAATTTTATGGAAGCATTACTGTTATGAAAACATACTTTCTGGTAATTTTCTCACTTTTTTAAAATAAGTGGTGGGGGTTGAAATAAACTACCCCTATCATTCTTGTTAACGAAATTTAAAAAAAAGCTTATCAAACACATGCAAAAAAATTAATTTGGATAGTTTAGTTTGTTTAGAAACTTTTTATCTCTTGTGTTTTATTGATAAAACTCACCTATTTGAAATTAAAAAATAAAAATTAAGTTTTATCAAAAAAACACAAGAGATAAAAAAGTTTCTAAACAAACCAAGCTATCCAAATTATTTTTTTGCATGTGTTTGATAAGATTTTTCTTTAAATTTCGTTAACAAGAATGATAGGGGTAGTGTATTTCAACCCCTTCCACTCATTTTAAAAAAGTGAAAAAATTACCAGAAAGTGTGTTTTCATAACATTAATGCTCCCATAACATTTCATTAGTCTATCTCTTTTCGTTTTCAAGATAAAAAATAAAAACATTATTTTTCCGCCATCTTTGTACCGCGATATCTCCCTAATGGTTTACTTTTGACCCAACGTTTATGAAGCAAACTACCCTTTATTTTGAACAAGGAATCGCTCCCTGAAGTTTTTCGCATTTGTTTTGAAACACCCTGTATATATTACAAGTAAATCGTTTAAAATATCTAGTACAACTTTTTTATATAGTCTTAAAGATTGTTTAAGACAAGATACATTTTAGATAGCTTGATCGCTGTAGAAACTCTTATCTAAATAAATATAACAATCTTGTTAGTCACATCATTTATAATAGTACGAGAGCTAGCAACGTCGGGAAAACAAGTATTTTAAGGAAGCTGGCTCTTTAATATATCGTTGACTATGCTCTTTTGAACAGCATGCGGCCCTCTCTGGCTGCCGGTAAACGTTGCGTTCCCTACTGCGCATTGAAAGAAGATCCTATATTTTTATTAGTTCATTAAATTCTAGTATTGAATATAAATCGACCGAGTCTCCATAGATTAGCGCGTAGAGATTCCGCCTATCAAGCGAGGAGACCGGGTCAGGGCAAAAACTTTTCTTATTTTATTTTCGTTTATATTCTGATAGTAAAGTATTAAATAATTCTGGTGAAAAACAAATATCTATCAGAATATAAACGAAAATAAAATAAAAAAGTTTTTGCACCTACCCGGTCTCGAACTCTAAATCGTCGGTTCGTAGTTGGAAACCCTACGCGCTGCACTATAGAGACTTATTCGATTTATATTCAATACTAGAATTTAACGGACTAAATAAAAAAAATAGGATCTTCATCCGATGCGCAGTAGTGAACGCAACGGGTATCGGCAGCCAGATAGGCCGCATGCTGTCCCAGAGAGCATAGTAAAAGATATATCAAAGAGCCAGCTTTCATGTAAACGTTAGACCATAATAACAACATAGAAAATATTTGAATCAAAATGTAAACAAAAATATAGATAACAAATGACTACCACTGTGAAATCGATTGATTGATCATTCCAGATAATTCGAACACTGAGTCATCCGTATGAAAAGATATGACAAAAAGCATCGAGAGCGTCGCGTCCGCGTGTCGAAATGGAATCAATTCACTTAACTTAAATTAGACCGTTCAGGCAGACAGCGTCGCGTTTGGCGTTGCGCTAGCGTCCGCTGAGCGTCGGGGTTCGAGTTCAATGGGGCGGACACGACGCAAACGCGACGCGACGCTCGACGCTCTCAGCCTGAATGTACCTTAAGACAGTACGAAGTTAGCCAGGTTAGCTAATTTATAACACATTAAAAAAATAGATTAACTTCATCTTGTCTCTTTCACTTAATATCGAACTAAAAGCAAACAAAAGAACGATTATAAAAATAATAAAAAAAACTTATCTATCTATTTTATGTTTTTCATGGAAATAATCATAAAATCTATCTACAGGACCTTATAAACTGCTGACTATTTTTCATTTCTCAAGTAGTGGCTGCATGGTAAACCTAAGACAAGTTTCGAGGTTGTTTAGATCATAATTTCAGCTGAACCTTAGCGCCATTTTGTTTCTCTGTACGATTTTGTTTTGCCATTTTTGTCCAGGAAGCCGCCCGACCTCGAACTGGAGGGCCTGTTCAAAAGGCACTTTACCACGGTGGAGTTCTTCCAGGGTACGATAATGAACCCCATCGATTTGCAAAGGGTCAAGGTGAGACTTAAACACGACACAACAATCGCTCGGTGTCTATAGTCTATTTTTCAAATCGGGTGCGGTTTTTTACAGTTAAGGTTACAGAGAGTTGTCGAGCCTTTAAGATGAAAGTTACTAGATTTATACATTACAACACAACACGACACATAAGACTACGGTATATAACTTATCTCAACGCCCCCACAGACGCTCAGTTATTTTGTGCAAACCTAGAATGTAGAATATCTGGGAGGGGGTTAATCACCGCGACCTTACAGATCTTTGTGTGAGTTATAACGTGTTATAACGCATTATAGAGTATGTGAGACGGTTTTACAGAGGTAGGTTCTTCATCTCCAATATCAGTCGTACCAAAGCTTATGGTATGAATTAGTGATGGGCATTACGATCCTTTTTAGTGAATCGAATCACACGATCAATTTCTCATATTGAATCGACTCCTACGAATCGTTGAACCAACCACAGGCACAATTTACGTTTCATAGAAACAAGAATCGTAACTGGCACTACTGGCGATCATTGGGCCGGACAATTACTTAAGGTACAAGAAAAAGAAATATACAGTTTTTTCATTTGTTTTTTCAACACTTTATGACACTAGCGTAATTGGATTGATTATTTTACAAACAATATTAAATTATAAATTCAATTCATATATACTATTTATTAAGGACTTCTTAATACCAATTTAATATTTTTAGAGCCATATTTCAATTTCAATTTAATAATAATATAATAAATTGTATATAATACAGCATGATAAAAAAATCGCATCCAGTTGGCTTGAAAATGACAACGATTTTCATTTTATAACCATCGCTGACGCCGTTTTTTTAAAATATTGAGCAGAGGCCAACAATATTTATTTGGGGTTGCATAAAAACACGATTTCGTCTTTTAGTCCGACATTTAATAGTCGGTAATGTTATTTTAACAAAAATATTAACGTAAAAAGACCTTACAGATACTCCCGTACTAAGTACAGTATAAATAAGCCTTTTTTTTGTAAGTAGCGTTCTTATAGTTTGCATTTTATGCCCATGTTGTTTGTTTAGGGCTTTTGTTCAAGTCTAAATATTGGTGTCTGACTGTAGAAACGAACAATGACTGTAGAAACGAACAATCGCATTGTGATCCGATTCAATTCTCACGATTCTTTTTTACGGCTCATCGTTCAAATCTTATGCTGGATCCGTGCTGGCCACGATTCAAATGAACGAACCGCCTATATCACCGCCGCGCCGTAGAAACGAACAATCGCATTGTGATACGATTCAATTCTCACGATTCTTTTTTACGGCTCTTATCGTTCAAATCTTATGGATCCGTGCTGGCCACGATTCAATAGAACGAACCGTATTGTAAGCAATGAATCAATTCTCACTTCTCTTTGAACGAACAATCGCATTGTGATCCGATTCAATTCTCACGACTCTTTTTTACGCATCATCGTTCAAATCTTATGGATTCGTGGATTCAATTCAACGAACCGTATTGCAAGCAATGAATCACGACTCTTATGGATCCGTGCTGGCTACGATTCAATCGAATGAACCGTATTCTAAACAGTGAATCGAATCACACTATACATTTTTAATAATCGATCAAATGAACGACTCGTTCAATCTTTGCCCACCTCTAGTATGAATGGTTGTCGTCTCGGCGCCATCAGTGATGAGTTGTTCTGTTGTTTCCCCATTTCCCCAAAAAATCTGCATTCAACGTTGTTTCTTAGCTTCATTCTACCGAGATATTCATTGGCGAGTCAGTGTCCTCTTAAAAACCCCGTGACAATCCGAAGATTGTTCTTACGTAAGTCCTGAGAAATTTCTTCGAGTGTCTTAGACCGTTGGAGGATTCCCATTACAGGTTACGGATGGAGTCTTCCAGGTTCTTGAGTTCTGCTTTAAGTTGTTTTCAACTTGGGAAGCAGAGCGGTTCTGGTTTATTTTTTTGAGTGTTCGCTTCTTTTCTAGCTAAATCGTTTGCTTTTTTATTATCTTCTATACCTTGGTGTGCTGGCACACAGAGTGAGAGATCTCTATTTTCTTTGCCTAATTTGGTTCAGCTCCCCTAGGCATTCTTTGACCAACTTCAAATTGGTAGTTACTGAGTTGGCCTTTCTTGTCTGCTTGACTATCAGATAATATGGCTAGTTCTTATTTCCGATAGTTCCTATCTAAGATAAGTTGTACGCATCTTTCGATAGTCTAGATTTATGCGGGAAGAACGGCCCATTGATTCAGTCCATAGACAAAATTCAGTCTATATGTAAACTTGAACCAAAATGTAGATCTTAAATCAACAGTTTTTATGCCAATTTATCGAACTATAATAAAGCTCGTCATTTTTATGGAAAAAAAAGTAAGGAGTATAGACGTATATTCACAGGAAATAACAAAGTATTTTTTGCACAAGGAAGCAGAATGTAAGAGAGAATGTTAATATATCTATCTAAGACATTTTCATTGCAGAAAATGTGCTGAAACTCCTCAGTTAGTTCATTGTGTACAAAACTGCGTATGTGTGCGACAGGTTAAACTAAGCAACTGGCCTGCACAGTCAGCCTGTGCTGAAGAGTTGAGCGTCTGTGGGGGCTCTTAGAGAAATATGTAAAATAAATTATTACAAATACCTACCTCCATAAACACAGTTCACCCTGTCCATTTCTTGAAACTTTAGTTAGATAAATCGGTATTTACTTAAAAAGCCAAAAAATAACTTTTCTCTATAAATATCTCATTTTTACAGACAGAAAGAACAAATATTTTGATATCTTAAGTATTTTTCAGTAACTTAAAACTGGATATCAGATTCATACAAATTTACTTGTCTAAAGTGAAGGCAACTTCTGTATTTTATCTTTAAGAGTTCTGTTTGATGGTTGAATCTTATTATGCAGCTATGAGATTGATTCAGTGTTAATAAATTAATAATAATAGTTTAGTCAGGTTTTTTAGAGTATAGAAGGTATTCTAGCATGGTATGAATAATTTAATATAATATGGGAGATGACTCTATAATATTTGAGAATCTTTTTTCTTTATTCTGACAAAAAAAAACTAAAAAATTAAACGTAAATCTACTTTATACTTATCTAATACAAATAAAACAGAAAATAGCAATAGACAGCTAGATATATTAGTATTTCTGTATTGTTGTTTAATTTTACGAGTTACAAGGATAAAAAACTTATATACTTCAAATATTTTTTTTCTTATAGATGTCTAGTCAATCCCTGCATCATAGATATTTAAAAAAAAACTTAGATGAAAGATTTGAAAAAATAGACTATAATTTAAAAGAATAACAGACAAGACATATGCTATTTTCCTAAACACAATATATATTTTTTTTATTTTTAACAGAACAAATTTTACTCATAATACAAAAATCTATACATATCAGATTATAGACATCAAATTTAAATACTAAATAAAGAGCGAAGGATAAAATAAGGCTAAGTAAGAACAATATAATTTTAGCAGAATAGTCTAGCAAGAATTTTTTAAAGTTAGAATATACTGAATTTCTATTTATCATTATCTGTCGTTTTTATTAAAGGTCTTTAAAACTTGAATCTCTATCTGCAATATCTATCAGAACATTGGAAATTAAAACAATGAACAATGAACAATCTGGTTTGCTTAATCATATTTATTCACAGATAATTGATCTTTTTAAATGCTGGCATTTTAGAATAGCAAAATAATGGTATATCAATCATTATTTTATCCATCTTTAATAATAGTTTGGCGTGACAGAAAATAACTTAAATAATGAAATAAGTTAAACTAGATCCAAATAGCTTTTCAACATGCCATAGACTACAAACAAAAATAAGACCGTGAAATATAGTAAAAAGCGATCCAAAATGATTGAAATTATTAATTTTTAATGAATTTAAATTAATTTTTCATAATAATATGAGACTAATCAAAACACCATAAGAAATAAATGGATTTAATATGAAGATTTTCTAATGTAATAATTCTAGTTATTTTTTATACAAGACGATAATGCAATTTTATCGTCGTGTATAAAACAATATTTTTTTCCATAGCGAGTTACGTTTTAAAAAATATAATTATTATTTCAAGGAATTTATTACGAGTAGAAAAAAATATTGTGCTGGGTTGGCGTTGGTTTCTATGTAATTTGACAAATAAATAAAGCTGTCTCTTTAGTTGTCAGTTTTTAGTCAATATTTTAATTCTCTTTTGTGTCGATTGCTGATTGAATTGGAGCCAGAAATGGCTCAAAACGAAATAAGTAAATTACCAACAGATACTCAGGCTGATATTCAAACTACTTCCATGTAAATCCCGAATAACTTATGAAAATGAATACAAAAATGTTCAAAAATGGAAGCAATTAAAAAACGTTCGAGAAGAAATAAAGGTTTTATTTAACATATCCTCGCTGTTAAAGTATCATTTAATCTACCCTTGTGGTTAAAGTACTATTTTTGATAGATATAGGCAATTTTAACAGTTGCTATGGAAAAAATAAATGAATGTATTAAAAACTATATGTCAATATGACTCCTACTTGTAGGGCGCCACCTACATATTTTAAATGGTTGGAAGAGTATAATCATAATAAGAGTATTTCAGTGTAGTTTTAGTAGAAATTTTATATGTATAATCAGTGGGTCTGAGAATAGGTTGTTAGCTATTTTTTATACCCCTACGTGATAGTCCAAAGTTTTTTAATTTTTTTGGCCAACATTTTTTATTTTTATTTTTTTATGATTTGGCATTAAACAATACATACAACCCTAAATTTTTTCCCTTTTACCATCAACCCCGATTTATTAATAGGGGTGGTTTTTTAAAATTTTTTGTTACCTTACTCCTCCGAAACGGCTTAACCGATTTTGATGCAATTTTATATGTATAATCAGTAGGTCTGAGAATAGGTTGTTAGCTATTTTTTATACCCTAAGTGATAAGGGTGGCCCACCCCAATTTTTTTTGGGGTAGAATTATTATTTTTTACTTTTTATGATTTGGCATTAAAAAATACCTACATACAACCCTAAATTTTCACCCTTCTACCATCAATCCCTATTTTTTAATAGCAATATTAGTAATACGATAATTTTAATTTAACAAATTGTTTATAAAATTTGTTAGAATACTTTAAATTAAAAACGTGGCTATGATTGGGTATAATGGTATTTACCCAAATTAAATATACTATTTATTGACCTTTTGGGTGTATCCTACCTGGTACAAAAACTTGAGTATTTACCCAAATTCCAATATAACGGGTACTTCCCTATCACTGACCCTAGCCATAGCAACGCGTGTCTGCTAGTATTTTTATAAATTTAAAAGGCAAAATGTACTTTTATATGAGCTTATCAGATTGTTTCATCTTTGTTTGTTATTTCCTTGTTAATAGTATTTTTAATAAATAAATAAACGGTGTTCAAAACTGCGGTTCTGTATTGATCAAAAATTACTGCGCCAATAAATAGACGAAAATAAGCCGTGATTATGTAACTATACCTTTTTCATGATCAACACTGTGGTTAAATTGAAAAATAGTATTTTTTGCATTAAAAAGTAAGCATGTCGATCTCACAAATATCAAAATCAAAACTTTATATAATTTTACAAGAAAAAGAAGAAAAAAAGTAATTAAATGAATTGACATAATTTGCTGAAATGGTTAATCAAAAGAAATTTTGAATACATATAGCTTGCTAGACGATTTAATAGCTAATATTAAAGAATTTTTAAACAGAGACAATTATAAATAGGCATTATTCTAACCAAAATCGATGAGTCTAGTCAAAATTTCGGTAAGTCAAGTAAGAACCAGCCTTTTTTATTCTACAAATAGGTCGAGTTGACAGCTTGCATGCCAAATAGAGACAGTTTCACTAGAACTATTTGTTTCGTTTATTTCCATTGTTATATTTATTATTAGACCAAACCATTTTTAAAGCACACTTTTCAACAAAAATTTTAATAAATACAATATTGGTTTAATTGTTTCATCGATTTCGGACTCGAAATTATTATTTTGTTATTATTAATATAGTTTTAATGACGATTTATTAGGTGAATGTTAGTTGAAGCATGCTCTCAAACAATTTACTAGCTTTAAATTTTATTAGAACAGAAATAATAGTGTAGGGACCTTTATATACATTATTTAAGCTTTAGATTTAATACTTTTCATAAGTTTATATGCAGTGATCGATTTTTTTCAGATGAAATTTCACAGGTGAAATTAGAGTTTGTTTTGGATCTACAAAGTGTTCAAAGAACTTGTATTTTTATCTTTTAACCAACAGGTGAATGATTGTATCCTTATTTTTTATGGTTTTAGTGTAGTGACAATTTTTAAAGTTCTTTTCATGCATCGTCGTGACTCAACGAATTATAAAATAAACAAGAAATTATACAAAATAAACCAAGAAAAATTAAACGCACCAAAACAATTTATATTAAAATTATGCATTTAAAATATATTTATAACCATACAAAGTAATATAGTATAATTCACCTGTAAAAATTTTGTCTGGACAAAACCCTGTATAAATTAATATTAAATAACCTAAATTCTACGATAGAAAAAATAAAAGCATATTTAGACAGGGTTGTTCACCACATACGACACGGAGTATTGTAGCTAAACGATTAGATTTTTGCAAATTGTAAGTTTTGGGTAACTAAAAATGTAATAATATACAGGCTGTTCCATTAAAAAAAATACAACTTTGATGTTTTTTATTTATTTTGGCCACTCTATAACTTGTAAAAATATTTTTAAATTGTAGCTCTAATAGTCCTTCAACGAACCCAAAACTTACAATTTGTAAAAATCTAATCGTTTAGCTACAATACTCCGTGTCGTATATGGTGAACAACCCTGTATATTCGAATTTAATCATTAATATCATTATTTCTCTACTCCATATGAACAACAAAGTGTGCATCATGTATTATAAAATTATGATACATGATTTCCAATTTTTTTACTCGAAAAGACACATATCATCTATGCTTTTGTTTCTTTTGTATATCAACAACTCTTATGTTAAAAATGGCAGTAATTTACAATATTTTTGACGTTTTTAGGTACATGAGGCGGACGCCTGTCTAGTTCTAGCAAACAAATATTGCCAAGATCCAGATGCAGAAGATGCTGCCAACATCATGAGGGTCATCTCAATAAAGAATTACAGTGACGATATTAGAGTTATTATACAATTAATGCAGTATCATAATAAGGTATTGACTATAATTTGATGATATTAAAAATAGGAAGGGAGAACGAGATTGACATAAATAATAACCTTTAATTTGACAAGTTTGACAAGTTTCAAAAATGCGTTCGTGTCACAAAACATCCCCCTTTAGAATTTCGTCTATCATGTTAAGAAATGAAAGTAAATAATAAAGTGCCTCTCGTGTTTGTTCGCACTCAAAAAATTTCAATTAATGCCTGTATATATTTTTAATATATTTTTTAAATTTACATTTTTCTAATTGTAAAGTAATATATTACATTTAAATGGAATATATTACATAACAATTATGTCAATTACAGGATTATAAGCATGTTTTTTAACATTTTTTAAATAAAACGAATTATAAAATTTCAATATATGTATTTTTGTCGTAGGTATGAAAAAAGTAAAATATAAAATGGACAAACGCTTACTTGCATTGCAATAAAACTTCCACTTTTAGTTTTGCAATCCAAACGCAATATTTCTATTTCGCAAATAAAAATATCCGACAACACTAAAATCACTGAAACTTCCGCGGCTCACAACGAAAACTGAAAAATATAACAGCACTTTTTGTTTTGGACCTGCATATCAACGTTACGCTGTACTATTATGTATTTGTTGTTGAAATAATATTAAATATCTAATTATAACTTGTAAATTTTAATATTTAAACATGATTTTAACTACTTTTGACAATAAGTAACTTTTTGTTATCAAGATGACATTTTAGACGGCAACTGACATATATGTCATAATATTTGAATCTTAAATATGTATTAATATAATTTAAATTACTATAATGCAACTTTATACTAAGAAAACATTTATACATTCACAAAATACAACAAATATCTAATTATATAGTTTGAAAACAATAAATATTGAATTAAAATTGAAAAAGTTAAGCGCGACCCCTTGTGTCAAAATTAGATGATTAAATTTTCGCAACGTTTACACCATTTGATGACCGGTGGCGCCTCTAGCGTTTGTTCGGGCGCTTGGGCTTTTACTCCCGCTTATGGCCATTAAAGAAAAAGTTCTAAAGGGGGATGTTTTGTGGTTCGTGTGTCGTTCATCATTCCGTCACTCCAATCAGCTCCAATCGTATTGAATTTACGAAATAAATCAATAAGACTGGTTAAAAACAACAAGAGACGATGCCCACAAAGGATTTATTTATAAACCCTTCCATAGTTAACTTAAAAAATATTAGAAACTTTTTAAAGCAATAAATGGATTGATATGTAGAAGGAAAGGAGTATATCAATTTAGTGCTTTTGAGGTTTATTATTTTTTAAACAATAGCTTTAAAAATGAGTTACCTGAAACTAATACCCAAGTAGCATCTATCTGACTTCGAAATAAATCTGACCTGAAGCGACGTCAGACTTTGTGCAAATTTAGGTCGGGTGCTGGTGACACGACTGGTGACGTCGCTTTCCTATTAAAAGTGACGTCGTTGGATCCGAGTCGGTAAATTGTATTAAAATTATATAAAATATATTGTTCCAACGTTGGCTTGCACGACGTACCTATACTTGAACTAGCCCGACGTCTACCCGTTGTCCGAATAGGATACGTCTCACTGATAATCCCTAAAGTAACGTCCAATTATATTTTGTTGTATTTTATGTTCATTTTTAACCTAATTTACGTATCTCTATTTACGTCCGTAAATACAACCCATTAAGTAGCATTTGCGGCCTAATAAACATCATGAACATAACCTAATAAAAAGTTTTTGTAAACAAACTTAATTTTTTTTATTATGCCTAAAAAAACACTCAAAAGGCATTTAGACATTCATCTACATTTTACAGAAAGAGGTCGAGGCTTTTGCAAAATAATAATAGTAGTAGTGATGTCTTCCCTCCGCCCACGAATGCTTTCTATCCGGAAGAGATGCTGCATTATATTGGTGCATCTTAATTTTATTTTTTAGCTTAGGAAACCAGCAGACCCCATCCTCCTCCTACATGTGCGGTACTGGTTCCAATTCTTTTAAATTTTGTATATACTATGTTAAAAAAGTGGCTGCCCATTGTTTTAAAGAGAAAACAAAAACTAAAATATAGTTGCACAAATCCACAAATCACTGATACGCAAAGTGAGGTTACGTGGCGTACGTTGGAATTATATACGTCATAATACGATTGCCGGTCGTCCGGTTTGATGACTTCGGTCATGTGAGACGACTAATGTTGGAGACCCGGTCGGGATTGGTATATTGGTAGTTCATATTAAGTCGGACACAGAAATCCGCCATTCTTAACAAGTATCCGATTGTCAGCCATTTTAAAATCGTTTTATGTTTTTAAAATTTATATTCACATTCCGATTTCTAGTAGAATAATATTGATAAGATTGATTTTGGGGGGAACCCCAGTACAGTTTTATGATTAAACCAGCTAGAAAATAAAAAAAATATTTTGCGAGTTACTTTTTTATAGATATTTTTATTTCATAAATGTACCTAATTTTGAAGGCGCTCGTTGTTTTCCGGAGTATTTTAATCAGATATATCAAAAAAATGACTTCCGTTGACAAAACTGATGTCTGGATTAATGATTCAGAATTATTATAATATGAAATTAGGTAGGCGCTTATAGTTATATTCGAGGAGTAATTATGAATCTATTTGTAATTAGGTAGTTTGGTTGGGTTTTTATGTATTCTTGGTAGCGAATATGAAACCAAACGTAACGGAAGTGCTTAGCGACGAATTTTAAATAACTAAAATCCAAAGTAATATGACGTTGGTAATTGGTAGAATTACATTCCCTATTAGGTCAGATACCGACGTCGAGGCGACCCAAATCTGTATTCCCCATTTAGGTGCAAATAAGGGTCGTCAGGCGGTCGAACCGACGTTGGTACCCGACGTCGGGTTTATTGAACGCGACGTATACCCGACGTTAGATAACGTCCAAATGCTACTTGGGTATATGCTTATTTTTTAATGTTTTCTTTTTTCAGGCTTATTTACTGAACATTCCATCATGGGACTGGAAGCAAGGCGACGACGTAATCTGTCTTGCTGAACTCAAACTGGGATTCATCGCTCAATCCTGCTTGGCTCCCGGATTTTCTACGATGATGGCAAACTTGTTTGCTATGCGATCCTTCAAAACTGTAAGCAATCTCTTTGGTTAACTTTTCCTGTTTTTATTCCTTTTATATAACACGTTATTTAACTTATTATTATTTTTATGGACGTTCTGGGTTATATCAACAGCAGACTTACGATATGGTATGATGAAATCTTATGTAGTTTTTCGATGTTTCAATAAACATAATTTTCTTTTGAAAACTCTTAATTCTAAATGAAGAATTTTTTTTGGAAATATTTTTTTTATTTCTATACTTTTTTTTTTCATCATACAAGATCTTAGTTTATACGTACTGTAGATATTTGAAAGAATAACAGAAAACCTACAAAATAAAATGAACAAATTTGCCTAACGGGCAAAAAAACAATTCTATTGTTCAGACGACAATTTACTAAACAGAGATATAAACCACATAAAAAATACATTAATAAAAAACGACTATCCACCATCTTTTATTGCCAAAACATTCAGCGAAATACAAACTCCAAATCATAGACAGAATACGCACAGTGATTACACAATATATACAACTTACAATTCCATACATACGAGGCCTTTCGAAAAAATAAGAAGGATAGGAAAACAATAAAACATACAAACATCTTTCAAAACACAAAATACACTTAGATCCATTTCAAAACACACTAAACCAATAAACACTGGACAACAAAAGAAAATGTAATATACAAAATTGAATGTCATAAATTTTATATTGGTGAAACATCTAGACCCTTATACAGGGTGAGTTTCCTACAAGTCAGTTAAATGAGGAAAGAATTGCAGTTTAATTTTTTTAGTCTTATTAGATATTTCGAAAAAAAAACAAATTTTGGCTATTTTAAAAATTGTCCCTAATTCCATTATAATCTATTTTAGACAAAAAGTTGTAGATAATCACATCCCTAATGAGACTGTGTTCTTCGATTTTTTCTAAAGCCTGTCATTTTTGACATGACACAAACATATGTTTTTTTAAATGGAAACCATAGCTGGCCATGAATTCATAAAAAGCGCCATTTTTTAAGCTTTTTAGCGATATAAGCTATAATATGTTTCTTTGACAAAATTACTGAGTTATAGCCAATTTTTATCTTTCTTGACTAATTTCACTTAGTTAGCAAAAAAAGTAAAAAAAGTAAAAAAAAAGTAAACAAGTTCAATCGTCATTGCTCTCAGAAATATGAAATTGTCACATTCAATCTTTGTAAATTAAAATAAACAAAAATTGTAAATAAGAGTTTTTCAAATGAAGAAAAGCGTGTAGGATTATTGGTTCAACTTTTCTTGACCATACCGTTTCGAGGATACGTTGACCGTTGACCGGTGAACGTTACTTATTTACGTTTTTTAGAGAAAGGTTTTCAAGACATGTTAGAAAAGTTAAATTTATTAATACTCGCGCATTAATAGAGTGGTTCCAACATGACTTTCATTATGACACACCAACCCCAACCCCTCCCCCCTCACACATACACACACACACACACAATGAAAGAAATGCTAAAAATTATTTATATCATAATTATGTAGACTCAGGGATAGAAAGAGGTAGACCAATTGCATGGGTCTCCTCGGTCACTTGACCTATCCATTTTAGATTTTTTATGCGGTATGGTTAACAACAAGGTTTACAACAGAACTTATGAATTGAGAGAGGCACTCGAAGACCGGTCGTTCTGTGAGAATAGCTAGAAATTCAGTTTTAAAAAGATGCATTTATGTACCCAAAACAATTGCGGATTTTTTGAACATTTTCTAAAATGTAGTGATATTATTTTTTTAAGTTTTAGTTTGTGTAATGCAAATTGTAAAGAGCCGTTTAATAATATATTTTGTCTTTTTATAAGTAATAAATCATAACAAAATTAGAACATCATTGAAAACCGTTCTCTAAAAAAACGTAAATAATTTTCACCGGTCAACGTATCCTCGAAACTGTATGGCCAAGAAAAGTTGAACCAATAATCCTACACGCTTTTCCTACATTTAAAAATTTTTATTTACAATTTTTGTTTATTTTAATTTACAAAGATTGGATGTGACAATTTCGCATGTCCGAGAGCAACAACGATTGAACTTGTTTCCATGGCTAATTAAGTGAAATTAGCCAAGAAAGATAAAAATTGGCTATAACTCAGTAATTTCGTGAAGGGAACATATTATAGCTTATATCGCTGAAAAGCTCAAAAAATGGCGCTTTTTATGAAGTCATGGCCAACGATGGTTTCCATTAAAAAAAACATATGTTTGTGTCATAAGTCAAAAATGACAGGCTTTAGAAAAAATCGGAGAACTCAAACTCATTAGGAATGTGATTATCTACAACTTTTATCTGAACACTTTTTGTCTAAAATAGATTATAATGGAATTAGGGACAATTTTGGATTTTTCCAAATATCTAGTAAGCCATGAACTTTTTCAAAAATCTGAAAGGCGCATATTTATGACACCACAAAACTGAAATTCTCTCCCGATTTAACCGACCCTCTATCTCCAATAGTTTCCGAGGTGCCCATAGAGAACATCGTAGGAAACTCACCCTGTATGTTCGAATTAAAGAACATAAAGATTATTTAAGAAAGGGCGACTTTGACAAATCTAAGATTTGTCAGCATTGATGGAACACACAGAATAGATTTTAACAATGCAAAAATTATAATGAAAGAAGCGATAGCCTCTAAAAGAAAAAAAAGAGAGACTTTTTTAATACAGTCTAATAAAAATGAGTGAATTGCTCATGCATCTGTAGATGTTAGTAATGTATGGCAATCGCTTCCGGAATAGATTTTGACAATTCCGCATAGATTTTAACATACATAAAATTTAAAAATAATCATACAGAGAGTTTTAAAGCTTTTTGGTTTTACCATATTAAGTAATTGTTATCAGGTAGTAATTGTTAATTTTGAAGTTTAACTTGATATAATGTCATTTTAACAGAACGTCAACGGATTTTTGTAGACGTATCCGTTTTAAAAAAACTAAAGTGTTCTCGAATAGTTGCATTTAGATATTTTAAATAGTTTTTTTTGTTCTTTGTATTTTTTGCTTTCGACGCCGGAAAGAAGTATATTTTCGAAACGTTAAGCATTTTTTTGTCCATTAGGCAAATTTGTTCATTAGTAAGCCACTGCTGACAATTAGTCTCCGTTGGATTAACCCAGCAGTGTTTACTAAAAATAACTATTTTATTTTGAAGATTTTCTTCCAATGACTTCCATTTTCTTCTTTTTTGATAAATAACAGCATTTATAACAATATCTTTTGCATTGATATATCAATAATTAACATACAGAGAAGACCAGGCTACTAGTAACATAGCAAGTTGCCGGACGAATTTACGTTTACCCATTTTGCGTTCGTACTCGAGAGCCACTGCCGGCTAGTCGGCTGGTCAGGCAGTACGCAGTTGCAGTTGTACTTGGACGGGTCGGTTGTGACAAACTAGGAATATGACGCGAGGAGTGCCGTGTATTTATTATTTTCATTTTAAGTGTTTACCTTCACTTAAGGTAACATTTAAAATAAAAATACTTAAATATTTATTATTTGAGTGTGTTTACAAGCCAAAACTAAAAATAAATAAATTCTCTAAACCCCAAAAAAAAACTATAATATTACTCTCAATAAAAAAAGTTATAACAAGTGTTCAAAAAGACCACCTTCCTGTGCTAGACAGAAGCCTAGGCGGTCGTAAAATCCCCGTCTGACATTGGCTAACATATTAGGGCTAATAGTTTGGAAAGCCTCTCGTATTTTTACTTGAAGCTCATCCAGATTATTAGCCCTAAAAGAAATCATTAGGAGAAAGATCTGGTGATCTAGCGGGCCACAAAATAGTTCCATATCCACTAATTAAACGGTTGGGAAAAGTATTGTTCAAATATTCTTGAACAATACGGGCATTGTGGGCAGGGCAACCACCTCAGCAATTTGATTACTTGAAAACGTCATTTTGATCCGCGGTAGCACAAACGAACACTTGCTTTAACTCCTGTTCTTCATTAATCAACACATCAGGCTTTTTGTGTTCTGGGGACACGCACCCATGTTTTTCAAAATTATTAATAACTCTTGATATAGTAGATAAAGATGGAATTGGCCTGTTTACAAAAGTTTGTGGAAAAATTATTTGTATATCCCGATAAGACCTATTTTGGAAATACCATTTTACAATTAGAATTTTCTCACGAACTTCATAAACATCCATTATTTTACTTAAAAAATAAATTTTACACGAGAACTGTCGCGAGAATCTACGTATTCGTTTTGGCTATTAAAACACCAATAAATACCAATTCTGAAACATTCTTATCACATGTCGACCTATTTTTATTTTATCGCATTTTATCCGGCGGACGGGTATACGCTAATTCGTCCGGTTCTGCCTATGTTACTACTACGGTGGTTCTGTCTGTATACAAGCTAACTTGGTAGCTTGTATGTATTTTAAATATCTACAGTATGTTAGTTAAAATCCTGTACACATTTTCAATATTTTTTCGGACTTTATACTTGTGATATAGTGCTGTCGAACATATGTGAATAGACGTTTTGCAATGGTTACAGTCGCCGGGCATGCAGGTGTGGACCAACGATTATTTGCGTGGTACAGGAATGGAGATGTACACTGAGACGCTCAGCCCATCTTTCATCGGCATACCGTTTGCTCACGCGGCAGAGTAAGTCGCTATAGTCTGTCCTTTTCACTCAACGAAAATGCCAAAACTTCTTTTCAATAGTCTGTCTATTATTTTTAAAGTGTTTCGTGCTTCTCACCTATTAATTACTTAAGAAAATAAAATAAAACCAAATTAAACTAATTTAAAACTCAATCAGCCTTAGAATAACAAAATTTTATATACAGGGTGCTCCGAATTGTAATCGGGAAACTTTGACAGTATATTCTACAGATAAAAATAAATAAAAAAGTTCGTATAAATTTATGTCCTAAAATGCTTCTTTTCTGAGATACAGGATGTAGAAGTTTCATTTTACTTCGAATTTTTTGTCTCTGGGTGT